ATTTACGATAATTTTAAATATCTGTAAAAAAATTTTGCTGATACAGATGTATTAACTGTGTACTTTTAGGTTCTTTTCTTTAAAATCGTTAAAAAATATTAAAAATAAAATGGTCAGACTTCGTCTATGACAAGTATGGCTCAAATGTTTCTAAATGGTCTCTGTTAGCTTTCCTTTAAAGCTTTGCACTCATCTTCCAAACACCTGTAGAATGCGTCGAGTTACTATTTTTCCAACGGCGATAGTTAAAGTCTGAACACGTAGGACATATTGGAAATATACTTTTAGGTGAGGGGTTGAGAATACCTTTAATTGTTATTTCCGGACACAACCCATACCCTTCGTTTGAGCGTGCAATTTTTATACAGTTTTGTTCTCAAGCTGTAGCTTTTATACTCTGCCAATTCCGCAAATTATAGCGTCAAAGAATGTATATAACTTGCTGTTACCTTAACACAACTGAAATTAACTTTACCCCAATCAGTCCCCGTAGCATGAGCACCACTATTTACATTATATCTCGGTTTTTATCGTGTCTAAGGCCCTCCGCACATGGAGCTACTCAAAAAGAACTAGTTACAAACTCAAATTACTAACGAGTTGCTTGAGCGTCACCGCCCATACCTACATTCTCATACGAGGTTCGCACACGACGCGATTAGTTACCAATTGGTTAGCACCGCTTTAGCACCTGATCACGGGTGACGCGTCATGCCGGTCGCTGCGCTACTGGTTACTAGAGTTTACTGATCATTTGCTGTGTGATTGTGATTATCTTAGCTTAGCTTAGATTAGCTCACGCAGTCCCGCATGTTAGTATTTTGTTTAGAAATAGCAGGAGATATTAACTGCACCAAATTCAAATAGCTATCTTTGGACATTCTTTGCAGGAAACTGTTTAAGTCTTATATCATTTGGTTTGCAAAATTTTCTTAAGTGAACAATAGATACTTCTCTAGGGCAATCAAATACCACAGAAGTATCTTATCTATTTCATATGGCCCTTTACCCGTATCAAGAGCACCACAATTTATATTATATCACGTTTTTTTTATCGCGTCTAACTGTGATACTCCTTAGTAACTTGACAATTGAGTGTGATAAAAACGAGCTAATATTTTTGACGTGACAACGTCTTAAATTAGGTTGCGGCTGGGAGTCACTTATGAAAAAGTGTAACGCTCGGTAACGTTACGATGAGTCTCTCGTGTTAAGTTTAAGTTTACATGTACAATGTTTTAGTAAACAAAATATATTTCTATAGTTAAAATTTGTGCAATTCTTATTTTCATTCAATTCCTTGTTCCTATTGTGCAATTTAATTATATTCATATCAATAAATATTCTACCGAGAAAAAGTCGTTGTCACGTAAAATCTTCGCCCGTAAAACCGACTTTACAGGCAACCATTTTTTCAATACATTATCATGACAGTGGTGAACTGGTGAATAATACCTAATCCCGACAAGGAAACCTTTCTCTTGATTGTAAAAATTAAAGCCAACGCCAACGCGACCCTAAGTAATTCCATAATTGCTATGGGTTTATTGGGCCAATACTTTAGCATCAAATGCCTCCCACGCATTATGACGTCATTTGATAAGGTTCTAAAACAGTCACGTTCAACATTACTGTGTGATGATAATCCCCAATTTAGACATGTCATAGTGTACTGCTAAGTAACATTTTTCTACTTTTAATATATTTTACTATAAAACTTTTCGTGTTTTCTATGTTAATGACAACGGCCATAATCGCTTCGTTGAAAACAAATATTACTATTCTCACCGTCTCTCTGGTGGTAGCCAATGTGGAGGTGGAAGTCAGTATAGTTGGCGTACGATTTGATCACAGTGAGACGACGCAAAATACCTCCATTTGGGAATTACACTATTTTTCATGATGTCTCTATATCAACTCGAGATCCATTCTGAAACACACTGCAGATGGTAACTGCAGCTGCATATGCAGTCAGCTCTGTTTGGAATATTTTTTAGGCATCTATTAGTCGCTGGTCTCCGGACGTGATTTTGGAACTTTAATTCCACATTACACTCTTTTTCTCTTAATTCATACACTCGTCTTAACTGATTTTTGTCATAAACACTAGATAGATAGTAAATAATAATAGATAGTAACTAGATATTTTTGTAAATCATAATAATTGTTCTTATAAACCAAGGTGGTGGGAGCCTGATGACCTGTAAAACAGGTATGTTACCATACCTGTCTCAGGCATCAGTCTCACACAAACTTATCATTTGTTTCTTTACTGTTATGATTACATGGAACTTGTGTAAAACTGTTTGTGATGAGAAAATAAAATTCATTATTATTATATTATTATTATAATTTATAATTATTAAATCCGAAAGTGTGTCTGTCTGTCTTTCTGTCTGTCTATTACCTTTTTACGCTTAAGCCGCTGAACCGATTTAAATTAAAGGACAATGGCGAAATATTTGTTGAAGTAAATCTATAGCGTCTATAGATGTCATTATCAGAAATGTTAATAAAATAATCTCAAAGGATTTATTAAACAATTGAGGAGGGTTGTCTAAGTCTGGAATTAAAAACTTAAAAAAAGGGAAAGACAATTGACTATTTATTTTTTATTTTTATTGTGGCTTGGCCATGATGGCTTTTGATCCATTCATTTTAAGTGATTTTAGTGATGAAATCAACTTGAAATATGTTGTTCGTATGTTTTGCATCGCTTTACGCTGGAACTGTATTTAATTATCTATCGAAAATATCGGGAAACATTATTTTTCAATATTATACTGAAACCATATTAAATAATCTCCACAATACAAAAAGAGTATGGCGACAATTCTAACGACAATTAAACTAAATAAAAAACTATAACTGTCACTGTCATGCTTGTCATCGAATTGTTGTTGTTATTATTATCATTATATAACATTTAGCGATGTAACGGTCTTGAATTTTGACAAACCGGATTGAATCGGTTAGCAATACATGCAAATCGGTTTTCGAACCGAACCGCCAAATTTTCAGTAAACCGCGGTTTGAACCGTTTGACACGTTGACGAATGAAACTTACGAAACAACAGGTGTATTTTTTTTTAATTCTACATATTTTTTTGATATTATAACGTGCATATATTAAAAGGTAATTGAAAAATTAAAAACCAGTTTACAATTAAAATGTCAAACCGGTTTACGAAGACGGTAACCGATGCAACTTGGTCTATGCTCAAACCGGTTTGAACCGGTTTGAAAAGTCGAGTCGTTACATCTCTAATAACATTGTTTGTGCTTAGGTGCGGATGCATATTGCAAAGATTTCAATCGGCGTATTGTGTTTTTCTGAGATTTGTTTTTTTATGTGACTTGGACTGTATTTGGACTTTCGAAATCTTTCTCTGCGACTGTTGAGTAGTGCTTGCCTAAGACTTCCGAATCTGATATTTTGCTGTGGATTTTGGACACGATTCTGTCCCATACTGTGGATTTTATTTCATTGTATCTACTATCTACGATATTGTGATCAACGATGTGGAATAAAAAATATATAAAAAGTGTTGCATATTTAATTAATATCCCATTAGTACATTATTAGAAATCCTTTTGTATACTTTATTATTGCACTGGGCATTTTCAAATTGTTAAGTACTTCTTACAGCACAAACATTGTATTTGAACTCAATAACTCATGTCTGATAATAAGTATTTTGACGCGGTTGGTCAGTACCTACGCCAAAGAAAGAAAGCCAACTGATCATAGATCATACATTGTAAAAAACATTTATTTTTCGTCACTAATCTTCAGGATGGACCGGTATACTTCTATAGTTCCGTTCCACGTATTTTTTATTTTGATATAAAAATATTCTTGAAAATACTTTTATAATTCGTTTTTGCATTACTTGGTAGGACATAACCTCCAAAACTTCAAAGTAGAATATCTATAAATCCAGACTTCCTATAATATAAGAAATAAAATACATGCAATTCATTTATAGACGCAAGAAAAAATTTCAACAAAAAATTGTATGGGAGTTCGCCATTGTCCTTTGTTATAAAGATAGTTGAGTCTCAGGAAAGGACACAGGAATGTTTTTATCCTAGAAATCACCCTTTAAGGTGGTGAAAATGGGGGTGGAAGTTTGTATGGGAATCCATTTTTCCACGCATATGAAGTCGCGAGCACCTAGAGCCTACTTACTATTATCTTTATATTTCGTTCTCTAATTGTACTAAAAAGTAACTAATTAGCCCGCATTAGATAAAAGTAACTACCACGTCAATATTTGTTTTTTGTTTCGAGACCTTACTTTCATACTCTGGCCTCAAAAATCGTCAAAGAATTTTGGGGTGAACTATTAATTGTTTTCCGTTGTTACCATTAGTGCGCTTCTGAACCAACCTATTTGTTTGAAAGAGGCTGTACAGGTCACGTCACTGAACTAGGTCAAGGTGACGCGAGGGTCAAGGGATGCCTATTCCCCTTTTGAAATGTATCAGAGATTCAATAGACTTCTATTTACATTTACTTTAATCATGTACGATTAGGTGAATATTTAGCTTAAAATCATAGTTACTTAAGTATAGATAATGAGACAAAATATTTTCACACAGTAGTGGACAATCTTCATGATGATCTAGTTAAGGAATCTGACACATCTGGGTATGGGTTTGGATAACCATGGAAATTAAACTTCGGGTGATGTTTTATGAACACTCGTTGAAAGTATTTCACAAGTTCCACTTGAATATGTTCACTTAATTTATGTATAATAAATACGATTGAAGGTGTGTTTTAAATTCTTCAGTTTGCACTGAGCTCGCAGATTGTTTAGGCATTGATGTACTCTCCTATGCATGTATTTATCGAAAGAATTTTGCAGTCCGAAATGTCCAAATTAATAAGTAACAAGTAATGTGGTTTTAGTATTTTAAAATCAGTCAAATTATAAGTTTGAGTGATATTAATAAAATTTTAAAACTAGTTTTAATTAATAAAATTGTTTCAGGAATATAACAAAAAGTGATAATTATGACAAGCAATATTATAGTAAATTATAATGGATACGAGAAAGCAGACTCCTAAAGAGTTGAGTAATCTGAGCATATCAAAACTATGGACATACAGAAACAGCACTTGTGCCCGCGGCTGGTGGATTATCTGACTATCGTCGGGGCGCGACCGTATACTTCAGGGAAAGGGCTAGCCCCCGTGCAGGTATAGTATCAAATAATAATGTTTATTTGATATGTAAATCCGGCCCACGTTGGGCGTCAGGTGCGACGATTTATCAGCGGTAGGTAAGAGGGTTTAAATAATTTATATGTTAGAAATAAACCTCTCTCGTATGCCTATCGCACAAAAAAACTAATGTATCATGTTTCTCCAACGTAATGGCACCACCGCCTCATGGATTTTTCAGTCCAGCTTATAATGATGTCGTCATTAATTTTTCGTTATATTTGATTTGTATTATTGATTAAAATTTTCGTAGCTTTGACCACATAATAGATACCTATATCATTAGTTGTAATATTTTGGTGTATTTCTTAAAACACCAATAAATAAATATGTATACACACGATAGCGATATTCGATAGGAGGATGTATTCGCTAGAAATATCCGTGAGTTCTTTCAACTTAATATAAATTGTTATATCTCTAGTCTTGTCTTCGTCTATAAATAACTGAAGTTCTCTGTGTAGTAGCTACACATATGGTGAAGTTTTTAGATTGCATTCACATCTATTCAGCCTTTGTTACATGGCTAATGGGCACCTTAATGATATTTCCACTTATCTCATCAGCAGGGGATCCACTTGGAACCCACCCGCTGCGAGCTTTCATCCTAAACATTTTCTTTTGCCTACCTACCCGTTAACGACCTAAGAACTACGAGTGAACATGTACCTGCAATAAGATATAAACTCAGTTAATGCTTGTGACCAGTCTAGTCCCGGTGGGGGCAGATGTTTGTCCGCTTTTTCCGGTTATTATATGTTGCTATATTTATTATTGACTTATGTAATGATATTCATACATATTTTATCGCTAATTCTATGGTTACTCCAAAAACAGATAACATGCAAGTAGGCACATATTGGGTAGCTATCGTCTGTTGATGTCGCGTTTAAAGCGTTACTAGTACGAACACATGATTAGTAATATAAAACGTTCTTAATGAGCGAATTATAAAGAGTTCATATTTCAATTAGTGTTGTGGTAGTTATCTATCATGTATTTTACTTACAAAATAGGTGCTTTGGTGGAAGCCAGACATGACCATCGCTATACGATATGATAATTACAATGATATCGACAATTAACCCACTATAATAAATATTAACTGGTATGTTTCCATAAAGCTGGTAGGTGTCCATAAAATTCTTACACTACTGAAGAAGTATTTATTGAACATGTTACATTGAATTGTATCTAGAGCGGTATAATATTATGAGACGCAAGTAGATATAATTCCTTACGTTTCATCCTAAATTTCTTTACTTCAACTGTGTTCTTGGACATACTCACATAAGCTCTTCGGGATATACACACGATCTAAATTTTGAACCTTAGTTGTTGGGCCAAAATTTCAGAATTACATTTCATGGAAACACTGTTGTCCGTAAATACAACAAATGTAGCATCAATTATTTACAATTTTCAGTGAAACCTTTGTTAATTTGCAAGGGCAAAGCTGTATTTATTCATGCCTGTATAGGATTATATTTATTGTTTAATCCATTTTAACGAACCTGCAAAAGGTTTACTTTTTAGAATACTTAATTTATATTCGTTTGTGAGCCTTTCTAACGAACGCATTTCAATGTTTGTTGAAAGGTAAAAGGTATGTTAGGTACTTTTGGCTTTACTGGTATAATGTAATAATTTCATACGTATGTTTTAGTAGGTCCTTATGAACCTACTAAAACATGGTCGCTGATAGGGTTGCCAGATGGTCGGAAATCGTCTGGATTCTCCGTCCAATTCCATCTAAAAATATAGTATTATACCCACCAATCCGCACTGGAGCCACGTGGTGGGTTATGGCTCGATCCCCTTATTCCGTCAAATTACATATGAAACAAAACTTTTAACCAAGTCCACAGCCTCCGCTGTCAGTGGACGCCCACTTCACTCACCATATAGCTATCCACGTATCTGCCAAGCTAGCTGCCTCGCTAGTTTGTGACGGAAAAATCTTACATTTATTTCGTCTAGACCGTTCAAAAGTAGTTCAGCTTAAGTGTAGGCAATAGTTTTTGTTTTCAGGCTTGTATTAAACACAGTGACATTCTTTATATTAATTACTAGCTGACCCAGCGAACTTCGTACCGCCATAAAAATAGGGCAGGTGGTAGAAGACAAAAGGACATTATTAAGATTAAACATAACCTCAAAAAAATTTTAGTTTTCCTAATAATTTAAGTTCTCAGAAGTGTCCGTCATTAATCTTTGTTTTTACAGTCATTTACTTACGATTTTGAACCTAGAAAATAATATTTCATGATTGTTCGTTCTTAGGCTAACTATGTATGGATAGTTAGCCTAAGAACGAACAATCATGAAATATTATTTTCTAGGTTCAAAATCGTAAGTAAATGACTGTAAAAACAAAGATTAATGACGGACACTTCTGAGAACTTAAATTATTAGGAAAACTAAAATTTTTTTGAGGTTATGTTTAATCTTTATATATATAATTCTTCTGTGAGTGTGTATGTCACTGAACTTCTCTTAAACGACTGGACCGATTTTAATGAAATTTTTTGTGTGTGTTCAAGGGGATCTGAGAATGGTTTGGATTCACAATTTTGTCCGCTGGACAATGTTTTTTTAATTAAATTTTTTTATGGCGGTACGAAGTTCGCTGGGTCAGCTAGTCTATATATATAAAAATGAAACCCGTTTTCCGTTGTCACGACATAACATGAAAACGGCTTGACCGATTTGGCTGATTTTTTTTTTAGAATATTCCTTGAAGTACGAGGATGGTTCTTACGAAGAGAAAATTTAAAAAAAATGCCTGAAAATGTCAAAAATAAAACATTTCTTTACTCAAACGATTCGTAATAATACTTAAAAGTCAATTTGAACTTTAATACCATACCATAAATTTCAAATGTTAGGCTGTGTCCCCAGTAAGCAAACTGTCAGCGGCCGACTGAGTTAGCGGCGTATCGGTTTAGTACGCCCTTCCATATATTTCAAATGGAGTGTTCACAGTTTGCTAGTTTTGCGCTCACTGTACGCAGTTTGCAGCGTTACGCGCGCCGACTATCTTAGTGAGCGGCCGACTCCCACCAAAACCGGTTCCAGTCGGCGGCGGCGATTGGTTGTTCGCCGGGCGTAGTGACTCAAACTGATTATTCGGATAGTTGGAAAAAAGCTATCATCGTGTTAGGACGTGTTTTTTTGCATCGCACCTAACTAATCTCAACGCACACACACATCACTGAAAATCCAAGATGTCCTTTGATACGGAAAGGTTCATTAGTGAAATACAGAATAGACCATGCATATGGAACATGTCGAGTGAAGAATACAGCAACAGAGTATTAAAGCAGAGCAATTGGAATGAAGTCGCTGAAATTATATACGATGATTGGCAAAACTTAGAAGAAAACACTAAACAAAAAAGAAGTAAGTTCCATTCTAATGAATTTATTATTTATTCAACAATATACTTGTATCACTCACTACATAAAACAAAGTATCATAATTTACATAGTATTTACGGCTTTACACACTCCGTTACACTATTTCTTCCTGTAGCTACAACTTACAAATATTTCTCTTGCCAGGATAGCTTTCCTTCGTTAAGAAAATAGTTTTTAAAGTTTTCTCTTGTTGTTTTTCCAGAATTTGATACAGTAATAATTTGGCTCCTTGAACTTGTAAGAGTTGTTGAGGTACGTCGCGAAATATGTGCATATTGTGCTTGTTCTCTTGCTATGACAAAATTATGTAAAATACAAACGGCTTTTACGATAGCGATGGTTGTATTCACATTAGTAGCGATCGGTGTATGCAGAACTCTCCATTTGCTTGTTAGGATGCCGAATGCACATTCCACGCATCTCCTAGCTCGACTATGACGATAATTGTAAATTCGCTCTTCCTTATTTAAACTTTTATTAGGAAAAGGCCTCAAGATATGCTTTTGTAATCCAAATGCCTCATCTCCAAGAAACACTAAAGGTTGGGGCAATCCATTTGAATTAGGCAATTTAGTTGAGTTAGGAATCTTCAGAGACCCACACGCCAATTTTTTGCCAAAACCACTTTCTTTAAATATATTACTGTCAGCATTTCGTCCGCAAGCACCTACATCAATAGCTATAAAAGAACAGTTTGCATCTGCTACGGCTAACAGAACAATTGAGAAGAACTTCTTATAATTAAAATAGTTAGACCCACTTTTTGGTGGTTTTCTAATACGGATATGCTTGCCATCGATAGATCCTATACAATTAGGATAGTTGGTTTTTTTATAATATCGTTTTGCTACCAGTACCCACATCAGTATGGCTATGCGAGTGGAAGCAGCAGTACACCAAATGTGCAAAACTACCCTCGAAACAGTCCATCACATAGCTCTACAGGTTCTTCAGCGGAAATAGAAGACATAGAAGCAATATTGCGAGGCGATTCAAACCACACTGAAGATGAGGAATGACAGGTTACCAACTTAATGTTACCATATATGTTCCTAATTCAATTTAATAATACAGTAACTTTGAAAAGTGATTGTTAAATTAAAAACTATAAATGCGAAAGTGACTTTGTATTACAATAAAAATAACATATTTTTTTAAAATCCTAAAGCGTTAATTATTTACTTACCTCAAAGTTATAGTAAGCCGTTCTTCGGGACATAATGTATCTCTTGTGATATTATTTTTAGCTATGTACTGGGTTATAGATTTCAACAATTCATCAAATGTATGAGAAGTCATATTGAAATAGTCGTAAAATTTTTCTGGATGTTTCCTTAGTTCTGGATAAAGAGTGTGAAATTGTCCAATGCTCAACCTTTTCTTGTATAATGGGTGAACCCAGTGCTTCCTTTTATCCTCTTTCAGCGCTTCTAAGATACCAATTACTTCAAAAATATCCATCGTGACCAACACAACCACTCCCTTCGTACAACAAAAGTAAAGTGATAATTAAGTCGGTCGGCTAAATAAGCGGCTAACTCTTAACAGTTTGCTTGC